ACGTGAACATTTTCAGAATTTCGCTGTGGTGAACAGTTGACAATCTGCAACACTACAGCCTTGCTCCATTCCAAACAAAACCTCTGACTCTTTCAAGAACAGATGAGAAACCACATGCAACAAGAGATATAAATTATTTTTAATTAAAAGAATGAAAAAATATAAATCCTTGTTAAACACTTCATTTAAAAATATGCAGCTTTATTTTAAAACCTGGTAATGCTCAAAGATGGCAGCCGACTTCACTCATTCACGTAAAAATATTCTTTAAATGTCAATCAATACATTTCTAAGTTATGTGTTGCCCTGCCGTTGAATTTTTTTCACCAAAATCCTCAAATAACTATCAAAGGAGAGTTGCATGTTTTGTTAGAAGCCCCCCATTATACTAAACATGGTAAATTCCAGAGCTGAAGGTGAACCACTCATGAAATACTATCTCTTTGAGATGCTGGAAGTCACACGAGCACAGATTTCAAGATAATTGACTGATAAATAAGCAGTAGCTTTCCCTTTTGGGCAGGTGTCAAATCAATTCAGTCCAAATTGAACACCTGTTTGGGAACTCTAAAAACTGAGCTCATCCTTCTCCTCCAACCTCCCAGGATGTGGAAAGGCAATAGTTAAATGAACTATTGCACGGTGTCTCACAGGTTCTGTTTAACCACCTAACACGCAATCCCAAAATGCACGTTTAAAATGGTTTTTGAGGAGACAGATCTACAATGTTCAGCTTGTCTATGCTAAATAAACGTAACTATCTTACTTACTCAGACATTTATCACCCTGATGCTAACAGGATTTACACATCATGAGGAACCCGGGGTCTTGGACAGGGCTCTGCACACGACCTGCACCTACAGCACAAAAGTCACTGTTCATCGTCTGATGTGACTCAATACAAATACGTGTCGCATATACTAAACTTAAAGGCTTTGAGTATGCATAGTACAAACTTCACTTCTTAACGAATATACATGAATATGCAGAAAAAAATGATTGCAGAGTCACAGAACGTATCCACAATGGCCATGCCTCCACATGGTGGAATTATGAGTATTTTATTATTGTTGTTATGGGCAAGGATTCTCAAAGGAGCTAACTGAAGAACCAAAGGGTATTACCACCAATGAAATTATCTGTCCTTTCCTGTTTTCACATTGTCTATTTTTAAAGTCACCGGCCAATAGGAATTTGCCAAGAGTGGATAGCAACATTCTCATACACTTGTAAGAAGGAAGCTCCTTGAAGTATGGAGAAAAGAGCAAGATCATGGTTACAAGAGAGCAGACTTGCTCCAAAACCAAAACCAAAAAATGAAACAAAAAACCGATAAGCAACTTAGTCGTTAGGTTTCCTATGGATCTCCAATTTTACAGAAAAACCAGTCTCTAATATTCCATCTTTAAGTTTTAAAATACGGTCCTTATACCAGTTTGGACTGGTTCTGTCCGCATTCAGAAACTTTTCTCTCTGTGCTAGTTAACAGCACTGCCCATCAAAACCTAGACTTCAGTCATCAAGATGTGTGGCTTGTTATCTGGCAGGAATTAAAGAACACAAGGAGTTGGACATCAGCAACAAATTCCGGAGATTTGAGGGCTTGATGTTTCATCCGCCTCTGGGAGCCTGCAGGTTAAACACGGGTGATTTTTACTTCTGAGCAGAAATGTTGGTGGCATTCACTGAATCCCACGAGCTCGAGAGACCGTGTGAACATGCACGAACAACGCTCTGTCTCAGACATCGCCAAGATCCTCGTATGCAACCCAGTACTGAAACCTCCAGGAAGGTAACCCTCACAATACCACACAGGAGTGCATACACAGCCACACGCTTTGCATACTTTTTTAGATGATTATACATTCTTCACACTTACTGCTTTTAAAAAGCCACACAACAAAATGTAACCCTGAAAGGACATTAAGTCTCACTGTTCCATACACAGTCTGCTTTACTTCTCCCAACATCCCTACAAGCTACACCGTCACCTACTAGATCTTACTGTGCCCCGCTGAAAGGAGGATCCGCCATAGTCTTTAAACTTTTACGAAGATTAGAAATCCCAAGATTAATTCAAGCACACGGAGTCTTTCAGACTACTCAGGACTATCAGTATTCAAACGGCACAAGTCACGATGAGCAGATGAGGCTTCCTGTATGTTGATGGCAGTCTACAAAGGATGGAAAAGTCACCATGTTTAAATCTCAAGTATCAAATCCATGCGGGGAAATTTTCTTTCAGACATCTGGCTTAGTGGGGGAGAAAAGACAATTTTTCAAGACTCCTAAACTTTTTCAGGACTAGAATGTTATTTCATGTGCCTGAAACAACTTACTAAGTGTTGACTGCGGCCCTGAAAAAGGGCACGTCTCTCATTCAACATGACCAGTTGGGACACTCTACCCTCAAGCCGACAAAGGCCCATGTTTTTATAACCACAGGCTTTGAAGGACACGGGGCGGGGGTGGGGGTGTTACAGAGAACCACATCTGGCGGCCTTTTATTCTAAACCTCGATTCAGATGATTTAAACAATTCAAACGACCAGTACTCTCATTTAATAAAACACCCACACAGTGACAAGAATGAGACTTTAATCAGGTTTAAGTGGAGTTTATAACACTAAGAGAGAAAGGGTTGTTAACAAACACAGTAACAAACGGACGTCTGATTGGTATGAGGCGTTATCCTGCACACGTCATTATGTGTTTGTGTATCCTCAGTGCATAGCATTTACACACAGAACCACGGCTGCACAGCACGAGAGTATCTGAAGACGCTGAATCGCAGTAAGGCTGTTTAACAGACTGAAATGTTGAGTATATATACGCTCCAGGAAAACAGACTGCTCTGCGGGGCCGGCAGGGGGAAGGCAGCGCCGCCACACGCCGCGGTTAGAGCCCCCACTTCCGCGCACAGTCCCACCCCTTCCGTCTGCATGCATGACACATGAACAGTATGTAAAGGTACACGAGGCACTTTGTGGCGACCACGGCCATCGTTAGGAACATATTGCACACATTTTCTAGAACTAAACATGGAACTTGTACCCTACTTTTTATTTTTTAAAGCTGAAACATTTGATGCTGCCGGTAAACTCCACTTAAGTTTATAACCTGTGCCACAGCAAAGAACGGGGATGCTAGGTATCCAACTGCCCTGTAATAATTATGGCCAAAAAAAAAAAAAAAAAAAAATGTTCGCGAGGAGCTACAGAGGACTTGGGATGGCACAGGGCCCAACTGTATAAGCTTTCTTAAAAGTGATGCCTTCAAGTAACTTCAGACATGTAAGCGGCTGCACATCCAAAAAGTCTAGGTAAGAAAACATTCCAGAAACTCAAAGAGATTACCTACAGAATGCATTTCAGGCTAATTATGAATACTGTCATAAATAAAGTTTTAATTAGGACTCAAAAACCTTTCAGTCATAGCAATTCTTGTCAAATTCTATGGGGATGGTAACTGAAATAAAGGAGAGTAGTATGTATAATATATATTTATATATATATAATATATATATATAATGCCATTTTTCCATTTCCAATGACTACACCATAAAATGTAAGCAAGGCTTCTCAAAAACATTGAAACATTCAAAATCAAAACCCTCATTCAGACCTTCACATTCCAAAGGAAAAATAATAACAGTGCAAAAGCCCATTATAATGTCATTATTGATGACCTGGCCCTCCATGTTACATATTGGAACAACACAAGTTATGTTTTAATATACTGTGCCCAAAACTGTAACAAATAACAGTATTAATAACTATCATCAAAACATGAAGAGTGGATTTTCATTTTAGTCAATAATTTTCAGCTTTTATGAAAGATAAGGTGGCATATAAATTTCAATGCTAAGATCTTAGGAATAGTTGTCTTCTAACTTTACCAATTTAACTTGAGCAATTCTATGTATCAATGTTTAAATACAAATGTGTAAATCCTAAGAGCTTTGTTAAAAATGTAAAATTTTATTTGTTGAATGAAACTGATGAGGTATGGAAAACATGTCAACATTATTTACTAAGAATATTTTAGATGAAGTTCTGCCTAATCTATTTAACCATCAAACTCTATAAATGCTGCTCTAGTAGGTCCTATGCAATCTGTATTTGTAAATTAACTAGGTCAGACCACAGCTAGTGAACAATTTCAGCACCAATAAGTTATTGAAAATGAGATTTTACACCATTAAGAAATAAATTGGCTGGATATTTAAATGTTTCAAGGTTAAGGTACAATTTGAAAGACACCAAATTTCTGGGGAAAAACGTCTTTTTTACATTTTAAATAGTATCTTCACATTAGCTTTACAATAGTAGTTGTACTCTGCTTAGAATCATATGCAGTCTGGGCATATCAAATATATGATATTTAAGAAGTGAAATTGAAGCCCTAGTCCTAAGTCTAGCACTATGAAGAAATGATTCAACACTGCACATTAAAAAAAAAAAACAAGAACTATTCTTTCAATAAAAAATCGATAAAAGCAATATGTGGGACAATTTCTACTGAAAAAGTAAATGCCTTATTATTTGTGCAGTGTTGAAAATTTACTGCAACTCTAATTTCCTTTTTAACACAAATAATGTTCTTTTAAATATAAACATTATATGTATTCAGTATTCAAGTAAAATTCCCTAACAGTTAATGACATTTAAAAAATGTGCAAAACTGCAAAACTCATTGTAATAGAATGTGTAAGGTCAAAAGGGCGGTACGGCTGACAGCTATTGGATTGAATAAGTGCATCATAAATCTTTAAAGAAAAAAACGCTTACTGTAGAATCTCAAATTGAAATTTCCTGTGCAGCATTACAAAATATTTTATATTCAATGAGAAAAAAGAAGCTTGCAGGCAGCACATGAAGCATCCACAGCAGGTATATGATTGAAAACTAATAAAGTAAGTGTACGTGGTTGACTGATGTAGGGACTAATAGCATCTGACTTTTCGCACTGGCCTTGATTACACAGGAGATGGAGCAGTCGTTACAATTCAGAAAATGTATTTTAATAGATCATTGTCGATTTTTATAATGTTTCAAGCCCATTCTTTGTTGATAGCCTCCACATTTATATGGTTAAGTCATTGTTGCTGTGTTTCTTATCTACGACCACATTATTTTTATATCCCTTCATTTGTGGATTCTTAACAAGTTGTGGAAGGTTCATTCCTGTACCCCAATACAGAGTCACTCTCTCTAGCTGCCTTTTCTAGCACCAATATGCTTTAAAAAAAAAATAAAATGCACAAAACAACAAGCAGTGACAGCGGCCAGTTCCTCAAACATCCAGATTAATAACTGTAGCATGCTAAAGAAAGGTGCGTGAAGTAGCTGGAGATGGTATATGGTCCAGAGTCCAGCTAACAGATATCCCTTTCTGAGCACTCCCTCCATTCCCCTAACCCGAATACATGCATTAGAATGTAGCAAAACCCTGGAGAAACTCCTCTTAGCCAACTGCAAACTTATCTGTTGCCACAAGTGCAAAGGGGTAGGATGTGAACCTGTGTTATCACAAAACTCTTGAGCCACTTCAGTTGGTGACAGAACACAAAATGAGAAATTCCTACGTATACACATCAGTCTGTCTCCACTTTTTATAAAACTGGAATAAAATGGGAAAGTGCCATCTTTATTTATCCTAATTGAATTTTAAATGTCCTTTTGACACAAAAAGGTATATACATGACACAGCTACACAACCTTTTTTCAACTGGACAACAAGTGTCAAAACCCTGTGGATGTATAGGGTAAAACAAGATTGGTCAGGAAAAGAGAATTGTTCCTATAACTGGTAATCTGACACAATGTCCTATTGCCATTAAAAAAAAAGGTCCAATTTCAGTTTATTCAAGTTTGTTTTCATGGTGTTTTATCCCTCTTGATTAAAAAAAAAATTCAGACTTTTGTAATTTGTGTATGCTGATCTTCATCAAAAGGTTCATTCTCTGGATCAGAGTCAGTGGTGTCAGAATATCTATAATGATCAGGTTCATTGTCACTAACATCTGGTGTTACAGAAGTTGAACTGCTAGCCTCGGGATTTGACGGCTCCTCTACTGTTTTCGTGAAGTACAGCTTCACCTAGAGAAAAAAGACAGAGTTTAAGTGGAAAATCCATAAATCTGACTAATCTTAAATGACTTAGAAAAGATACATATTTTAACAGATTCATTTTTTAAAAATGCAATGACAAACAAGATCTTGAAAAGGCAGCCGTCTTTTAAATGACCGTCTGCTTCAGATTTCCTATGTTTTCTTGTGATACACTGAAAAGATACACTAGGATGTTAATATCTTTAATAAGCATAAGCTGCAAGCACTAGCCAAATAATTCTACCAAAAAAAAAAAAATGCACTGAGACTGAAGTTCGTTGGTCATTTATAAAAGTGTGTTTTCAATAAACTTCAATGTACAAATAGCTGAGATCCAAAAGAATGTTGCACTTACTACCACTCTGAGCCTCAGTGTATTTTCTGATACAAATAACACTAAACAAGTACTACATTATAAAAACACTGACTAGCAGTGATGTTTGGGATCCCGTCAGCCCTGAAGGTTAAGAACATCAGACAGTGATCTGACAGTGGACAAAGGGCCATCACAGCAGTGCCGGAGAGCCGTCCAACAACTCAGCGAGGCAGGGATTTCCGTCTCCCCGGAGAGGAAGCAGAGGCCCACAAGGCAGTGGATCTGAGGCTTCCATCAGATCCTCCAGGAAGACCCTTGCTCTTTCTGCTCTATCTACAACCTCCCCCCCAACCACTACCCAAGAGTCATCCTCACTTCTCCTCCTCTTACATCCAACATCCGCTCCATCAGCAAACCCTTTTGGGTCTACCCACACGATGCCATCTCTACCTCCTCTGACAGCTTCTCAGTATGCCCACTGCCACCACGCTAGTCCCTGCAGCCACCACCTCTCATCTGCATTAAACCACGGTGGCAGCTTCTCACTTCATCTCCCAGCTCTGTCCTTGCCTCCTCTCCAGTCTACATTTTAAAGACAAAATTCAGATGACATCCTTCCTGTGCTAGAAACACACCAATGTCTTCACAGTCGGACTGATGTGCTTTAGTCAAAATGGCTGCTTGTCTACTGCTCCTCAAACATGGGAGAATCATTCCTGTCTCAGGGCTGTTGTATCTGCCCTTCCCTCCTGTCCCAGATATTTGTACAGCTCACTCATTCCATGTGGGCCTCTGATAAAAGGTCACTGCTAGAGAGGTCTTCTCTTAACTATTCAGCTAAAAAACACACCAAGATCGTGCTCTATGCCACCTCTGCTCGTTTGTTCATAAACACTTACAGCATTATATCTGTTTACTGATAACTGAGTTTTAATTTGTAACCACAAATATATATTCTTATAATATTAAAAAAATATTTAATATTAAAACAATAAAACCAGAGGAAGTCACACCATAAAAGCTTATAATTAAGGAAAACGCAGACTTAGTCGATGGGAACCTGTGAATTCTCAAAGACACTTCTAATCACTTAAAAGAAGCGTAAGATTTAAAGGCACTTAATATTGGATTTATTTTCCCTTAAAATATGCAGCCTCCCATTTATTTTTAGGATTACTCACAATATTCTTATACTTATCAACTATGGGTAGGCTTGCTGCATATTACAAAAATGGAATGAGGCAAAATAAGTAAGAAAATTTTTTGAAAGAGAAAGAAGGGTATGGTGAAAGGAAGGGGGAAAATCAGGTAGAAGGAGAAACAGGAAAGGGGAAGGAAAAAAGGGCAAAGTACCATTTGGAAATACTGACAAATAAGATTTTTTAACCTGGAAAATTCTTCTCAACGCACAGGAGTAAAAATACGCACACACATCACATATAGATATAAGTAATGACCCAAATAATTCCACAATATGAGGAAGTAGAGCTTTAGAAAGGGAGTAAACACAAGAGCTTGATTGGAGAAGGCCTTTCAGAGCAACAAGACTGAAGCGAAGGCTACCACACGGAAGGGTAGCCAAATGTGGGAACAGCAGGGGAAAGATGGAAGGTGGAGAGGTCTACAGGGAGAGAAAAAGAACTGAAAAGACTGGAGGCAGAAGTAGCTTAGCATTTGGTAGAACTGAAGAGAGACCAGGTTGGGTGAATCTCGGAGCAGGAGCAGAATGTGGCTAGAGCTCATGTGGGAGGTAGGCCTGGGCTGAATTATGTAGGTCCTTGTAGGTCAAAAAACCACAAGGTCTTTAAAAAGTATAAACAGGAGTGATAACACCGTATCAATTATAACAATCACATCTATTTCAAGATCACTCTGAGGAGTTGAGAATAAACTGGAAGGGGACAAAAGTAGGAACAGTTAAGCACATTCCATACGAATCATTCCCAAATGACTGAGTTCCCTTTTACTTCTTTCTTCCCTCATTCCTATTTCATGTCCCATGAACTGAATTCCCCTATCCCAACCCCTGCCCCAGATTTAACCAAACAACAACAAAGAAGGGCCGGGGTGAGGGGGGAGGCAGCTTTTTTAAATTCTGTGTGCATCCATGTTAGAAACTCACATTACTGATACCTAAATATTGCTTCTAAATAATAATTTAATTTAACCTCAGTCACACAAGTCCTTTACCAGCTATATACTTAACACAGACACACACACGCAGAGCCACCCACTAATTCCTCGAAATGTTTTTAACTTACCTTAAAATTTGGAGAAAAGTATCGGTTGGCCTTGTCTTTGTTTGCTTTGTCGAGATCATTTTTTGTTAGAGTGAGTACTAGATATTCCTTGTCATTATCTGCACGTTCTATACTGCAAATACTATCAATTTCTTGATCACAGAGACTTCCATTTTCTACTTTTTCTGAGGTTTCCTCTGGTCCTGGTATGAAGAATGTGTTTACCCAAAAGTGAAACATTTTGTCCTTTAAAAAAAAAAAACATTTAAAATTTTTTTAAAGAAAATATATCACCTATATTTAACACTCATCCCAAGAAGTCAATAAAATAAGTGACATGTCATTTGGTAGTCTGAATAAAGAAAAATGTACAGACTAATATTTGGCAAGCTATTGGTTATCAATTGCTCTAATTCACATATGTTTATTCTTTTTTTCAAATTTTAGACCAAAAATGTAACTCCACAGGTTCTAGGATAACTTACTTTTGTTTTAAAACCTTAAGTAAAATATTTTCTTTCTTGTCTAATGTTAGCTTTAAAAAATGTTTGAGTTTGTATGTATGTGTGTATTAAATAATCAGAAATGGGTTTTATGGTCTATTTCAACAAGTTATCCATTACAGGGGCGCTGAGTGGCTCAGTCAGTTAAGCCTCTGCCTTCAGCTCAGGTCATGATCCCAGGGTCCTGGGCTCAAGTCCCGCATCAGGCTCCCTGATCAGAGGGGTCTGCTTCTCCCTCTACAACTCCCGCCCCAAATCCTTCTCTCTCTCCCAAATAAATACATGAAATCTTTAAAAAAAAAAAAAGTTATCCATGAGAAAATTTACTTTAACAAAAGTTCTTGAAACTTCCCAATGAAGCAAGGCAGATACATTTCTACTTCAGAAGCAATGCAAACACTAAGTGGCTCCAGTTTCTTACACTACAATGTGTATGCCTGAAAACCTTCAGAATATGAGGGAAGGAAGACAAGCCATTCTGACTTTTTTAGGTTATAAAATGCTTATTTTTTAAAAATTACTTCTTAAAAATAATACAAGGTCCTGTTAACCAAAAAAACACATCAGAAGTTCATCACATCAGGCCTTTCATAACCAACACAGAAAATGTTCTCTCTCTTCATGACTGGAATTTGGCTGACATGGACCATGTGACAGTTAATGATGTGCAGCTTTGTGACATCTTGTCTCGTGCCCAAAACTGCCATCAAATCTTTTATTCTAATTTACCTATTAGAACTATTATTCTAATAGTTTTGCTATTTTCCCACGAAGATGTAAACCTTCAAGTATCTTTCGTTTAACATTCTTTTTATCTTTTAACAGTACATAGCAATCTCATATGTCTTTTTTTTTTAATATTTTATTTATTTATTTGACAGACAGATCACAAGCAGGCAGAGAAGTAGGCGGGGGGGGGGGAGGCACCCTGCTGAGCAGAAAGCCCGATGTGGGACTCGATCCCAGGATCCTGAGATCATGACCTGAGCCGAAGGCAGAGGCTTAAACCCACTGAGCCACCCAGGTGTCCCTCATATGTAAGTCTTTAAAAAAAAAATTTGTTAATTTCAATTATTTTAGCAAAGTCACTGAGTTAGTAACAGTATATATATTTAACTTAGAGTCAGAAAAACATAAGCTAGTAATATTTAAATCTTAAAAAATGTGGATTCTGTATAGGTAATGATTATATTAAATCTATTTTTATTTAAATCACAGCAACATTTATAATAGGTAAGCAAAATCACATAAAATGCAAATAAATATATGTAAAGTAATCCCAGATATACTACAAATATTAATCTAATCTTCAATTTTGTATGTATTAAAGTAACATACAGACAACTAAAAATAAGGACTTACACATTCCTAAAGGTATAGGGAGAGAGTGATGCAGGTGCTTATTTTTAAAAGTAAAATATAAAATTTTAGGGGCACTTGGCTGTCACACTTCGTAGAGCTTGTGACTCTTGATCTCAGGGTCATGAGTTCAAGCCCCATATTGGGCATGGAGCCTACTTTAAACAAATAATTAAAATAAATAAATAAAATTTTACATGTGCCAGTCTTACAATGAGAAGGGAAAAAATAATTTTAAACACCTGCTAATGCTTCCTGGACTACTGAAAAATTATTTCCCAAAGTTATCAAGATATATTTAACTTTTGCTTATATAGAATAGGTAGGAAATGGGTATCTAGTGAAAAAAACAGTTTAACATTTTGTCATTTCCCAGCTATATGGCTTCTGGGTATAGGAAATTGTATTTCTTTAGTAAGTCAAGGTAGAGTTTAAAGTTTTTATAATAAATGAAACTTCCTTTTTTTTTAAAAGCTAAATATCAGGAAAACTAAATCAGTCCTATTACTGAGAATGTCTAAAGAATGGCAATACACTATGTGGTATGTTTAATGAGGCAGTAACAACATAAAAAGCTAGAATCTTTTTTCATTATACCCCAAAATGTTGCACCTTAGGCTCACTCATCTCAAATGTTCACACTTCACATTTTAAACCAAGACAGTTTTAAGAATGAGCTCTTGAATTCCCTAACTATGGCTCACTAAGAAGCAAACCCCACTAACTTTCTAAATCTGTACACTTAATATCACAATTTTTCATTCGTTATTACTTCTTTTGCATACTTATCACTCTAACTAAAATTTGAAATATTCAATAAATTTGAGAAAGCCAAATATAAAATGACATAGTCTCATAAAAAATAAACCAAAATGGGGAGAAAGTGGTTTGTGTCATTACACAAGACCATGGAACAGATCTTATTTATACATATAGAGAAATATTTTTTATAAACCCATAGTCCCTGGCCCCTTGCTAACTTTTTCTTGGTAATTGATCATCCTGTCTAAAAAGACGGTAACTGATTTAATGGGGTATGCAACCTTTAATATTTTTATAAAATTTCTCTGCATAACCCAACTTAAAGAAAATTCATTTCAAATTACAATGACATAAGGACTTTTCCTCTAGTAACATTTTTTTTACCATTATAATGGCTCATCAGTGCTATAGTAAGCAAACCATGTGCAGATCTAACAGAAAACCAATTATAATTAATTCATTGAATGGTCAGTCACAAAATACTATCCTGTAATCTCTCCTTGCAGAATGATTTCTGCCTAACCAAATATTTTAAGCAAAAGAGCTGAGGTTACTGTTCACAGGATGATTTTGGATATTCTTCCCAATAAAAGTAAAGGGCAAACCTTTTTTAGCATCTTGTTCTGCTTGTGGAAGAACTCTACTTTGATGTCACCACACACAGGCAAAGGCTGAGGGAACTCAAAGTACATGAACTTGTCTTCCCGTCGTGTAGGTCCTGAATTGGAGGAATAGATCTTCACCTTTAGCTGGCAGACCACAAACTGAGGATCTGCATGGTTAAATACATGTTAGCATCATTCCACATGAAATGCCTTCAAATGTCAAACTGTCAAAAACCATTTTAATGGTTAATATTAGCAATACACACAAAATAGTAATTCGGCATCTGTAGCCCAGATCTAAAACACATCAATATTTTTTAAAAAGGTCAGAAAATAGAGCCAGTACAAAAGTTTCCCTAATTTTAACCTTCAGCATAAAGTTCTATTTACTGGTTCTAGTTCACAAATACTAAATCCCAACAGTAGACTTCTGGAACTACAATAACAGCAAAACTTTAAGATTAAAATGTTAAAAATCTAATATAAATTAGATTTATAATTAAAATGCTAAAATAATCTTCTGGCACATCTATGAACTGCATGAAAAGTAACTTTAAAAACAGATATTTGCTGCAGTATTTTAATGTCTCTACCATGTAATAAAACCCACAAAACACAAATCATTACATGTTCATAAGACACATGAGAATACATCTGTAACAAAGTTATAATAAATTCCATAAACACAAGACTGTATTTATAAAAATATTAACTATCATTTATTTCACCTATAGCTCACATTTAATTTCTTAAAGGGATATAAAGCCATCATCATGAGAAACAGGAAGAAAGAGATTGGAAATGTCGGTAAAGAAATACAAGACTCAAGCAGGAACTGCAGCAAAATCCCCCTCCCTCCAAAACACACTCCATTTTCATTAACAAGTATTTTGGCTTTGGTCGCTGTCTGTTTTTAAAATAAAGGAAAGGATTATATGTTTTAGTGATTAACTTTATGAGTAAGTGGGTCTTGAAGGAAATATGCCAAGACCATCAAGAAATAAAATCATAAACTTGCAAAAAAGTACATGAAAAATTTCATGTGTATTTCATATATATTTATATATAAAATATGCACATATATAAAAACTGGCATAAAATCCTTAACGCTAAAAGGCATCATCGTTAGAGATGCAGAAAGAAGTATCCCGTTGTTTATCAATGTGACCAACAAGCGAGAAAAAGGCAAAAGGCGTATCCCAGCTAGATGCACGTTCCCATCAGTAAACACGTATGGGCTTATCCGTGCGTATCTAGAGCAACACCAGCACTCACATAATAAACAGAAGGTCTGATAACAGCCTGTTGGGTTTTTCTAATATGAATCTGTGAGCCATTTATCACAAGAAAAAGGGCACTCCAAAAAGGGGAAACATTACACCAACAATCTGTCCATAATTTTCACTTCCTTGACTAAAGGTTCAAAGTACAGCAAGCCATTTTACAAGACTATGTGATTCTGAAAATTTCACTAGAAACTCTAGCTTGAAAAAGCAAACAAAAAGGTATGATTCCAAAGCCATGATAAAAATCAGCCAGGATGAAAATGCCTTGTAATCTTATTAAGACTCCACTAATTCAGAATGTGATAATCCTCTTTTTAGGACTTTAAAAAGTGTATTAACAGTAGAAGCCAGATTTCAATTAAACTACATCTAAAATGTGCATCTTCAAGAATTCTAGAACTGTGTAATCCATTCATAAACTAATTACAAATCAGCATCACTTAGAATCTACCCCAAAACCTAAGTTTAAAAGTTTTAATAAAAATAAGTGGAAAAGATTTCCTCAAATCACTACAGAAAATCATTTCATTTACAATACGAATTCCCCATCTTAGATCTTCAAGAGCTAACTTATCAGAAGTCCAACATCAGTGCAGTTCTGCTGACTTCTAAGACACAAGTCAAGTATTTTCTCTTTGATACGACTGACTGTGTTCTAAAGAAATGACAAGTCAATACCTGGTCAACAAAAATCAGGATTAAACTGTTTTGACATATGCCTACTGACAGAAAATCATACTGATCATCTTTTACTAACGTTTTAACCCTTTCAGATGTGAAGAGTATAGTAACTTTTCCTTTATTTAGGAATATTAGGACAATAATTCAGTAAGAAAACAGCTGCTGACCCCTGACAACTTTGCAAAAACTACTTCATTTTCCTCACGGGTCCCAACCTTCCCCCTGAACCCAAACTCACAACTCACCAGGTCTCGCAGTCCTCCCACTCTGTTTCCCTAAGCCTTCCCAACCTCTAGCCCAATACCATATTTACACAGAAGGCTAATTAACTACTATGTCTGTTGCCTGATGCTTCCCAAAATACCAGATCTAGCTCTCACCTAAGATTCAAACCCACACTTTCAAGAACCCACTGAGGATCTTCATATAAACAGCTCACCTTAACCTGACCAAAACAGGTTTAAAAACAAAAAACATTCATGTTTCCCAAGTCTCAGTGAGATTCGTTTCTCCTTCTCCCCTCTTCTGTGAATTATTCATGTGGCCAGAATCAAACTGACAAAATATTTAGATATAAAAGGGAAAGGAGATTTGACTGCCTTAGCAAAGCACATCTGGCTCATAGCAAGTCCCGTAACTGGATTCCTTTCCACCACTGGTTCCCCATCGTGCAATCACCACTTCCTACCCAGCCAGACTTAAAACAGAGCCTAAGCCTCTCAACCTGTCACTGATGCAACAGCACCTATCAAATCAAGTCTAACATCCCCATTTAGGCTCCTCTGACAGCTGGCCACACATGCCATCCTACATGCCTCTGGGTCCAGCTCATGTCCTGCTATTGTACTTTGAGTCACACCTGCAGTACTTCCTTCAGTTTTAATGCCAATATAAAAGGTACACTTTCTCTACTATTCAAGGAAGAGCTGGACTTCCTCTGTGAAACCATTTGACAACCCCTAAAACTTTTATTTTTCTGAATACACCATTTATAATTTATACATATAACCTCCCATTCAATTATGTTTACTTTTAATACAGCTTCATTACATAGTATGAAACCAGAGGGCATAAATGGAGAAAATTAGTAAAGATGAAAAGTTTTCAGCAGTCAGTAATTTGAAAGTTTAAATGTAATAGTGAAAAAAGACAAGAACAAAACAAAAATCCACCAGAACATTGCAGGCAGAGCAGAACTGTCAGGTTTTTACTAGAGAAGCCAATGAAAACAAATTACACTAGATAGGTGGATTATTGAACTGAATGTTCTCTTTCTCTTATTCTCTCCCTAATATGTTATACCCTCCTTTTGGCCCTTACACCTGCTATTTATCCTATAGGAAGAGCAGGAATGTTTTCTTCCTTTTTCCTTCTCCTCTATGAACGTGTTAAGTTCCTGTGTCAGTCACCTCTGACAGTCCAATGCCTTGCATTTAGAACTTTTTTATCACAGACTCTATTACTTGTGTTAACGCAGAGTTGACACTCAATGTGCCATTAGTTTCAGGTGTACAACACAGTTGATTCCACAGGTTTACACACCGTGCTGCGCTCCCCACCAGCGGAACCACCGCCTGTCTCCACAGAGCACTGCCACGGTGCTTGGCCTTTGCTGTACAGAGATGACTACAGCCATCAGTGAGGTCTCCCATCGTGCTTTGCTAAGGCAATCAAATCAGTGAGCCTATATCACACTCTATTAATAAATCTGTGGCCTATGATAAAGGTGTCCAGCTCTAAGAATACAGGAAAGGTACGATGAAGGTGATAACACCTAACTGAGAAAGACAAACACTACCAAGAAATTAATTTCCTCAGTACAGGTTAATTTAGAGATAGAAATTTTTTAATTACATAAATATTTTCAAGAAGCAAAACTCAAAACTAAAAACGAAAACCACTAACAAATTACAAAACCTCACTGAAATATTATTAGAGGTATTCAAAGAAATACTGTAGTAGTTTCTTATCTACAAACTACAAAACTGCTCTCTAAATAAATGAAACATATTTCTTAAACATGAAAACATGACTGATCACTGCCAAGGCAGTTACAGAAAAAAAGCATCAACAGTCTGATCTTTTACTGGGCTGGATAATACTTCCACCCACGCATTCTCTCTTGACTAACTGCTTGGGTCTGGGTATTCAGTATTAAGGCTCCTATCAGTCTAACTAAGAACTCCAGCCAAAACTAGCAGAGGAGCAGACCAGGGTCAGGATGACTGAGGGAGGCTCACAGAGGCTAGGGTAAGAGAAATCAATCAATGGGAGGCAGACATCACCGACATGAACTCTGTTTAGTACATACCTAGAAATTTTCAGATTTTGAAATGTCTTCATCTTATTGACAAGCAAACATAAAGACAGGTAGAGTGTGCCTGAGGTTATACAATCTAGCAATGACAGAGCTAACAAAACTGTCACTGGATCTTGGATCTAAACCCAGGTTGTCTCTAATGCTCCACACACTCTGACTCAACCCTATTCACGCAACATATTTCAGCAGGTCACCACGTCTTATAACTTTTTCTTTTCCTTTCTATTGTCCCTGTCACCATTACTACCAATATCTAGTCTTCCTAAGATACGAAGGAACTGGTCCCTGCCCCCACACAGGGAACTAATGAATCCCACTGCTACTCGGATGCTGGATCTCTACTGGGATAGGTTTTTTAGTCATCTGGTCACAGATTAAGCTGCATTTGGTAGATGCAGCAAAGAATGTTTCTTTCATAAATACACTTTGGCATCTAAGACATTAAAACCCATTGCTGGCCTCCTTAGCCCAAAGAGCTGAACAACGGAGCTACTTACTTAGTTTGGATACTTCAGAAATATATACCCCTATGTACATTTTAAGTGTGGTAAATTTCTTTCTAGATTTCTACATAAACGTCTAGATATGTCCAGAAAAGTGTTCCAGTACATGGAGGGATGAGAATTTAGAGCACTTACTGCAAGTTCCGCCACTGAACATTGGAATAGTTTCAAACATCATCTTGTGAAACAACAGTGCCACTGGTCTATAATCCAGATGATTCTTTAACAGGTAGCTATAATAATACACATAGCGCCTCTGACTGGGAATAGTTACTCCCTGGTGGACAGAAAAAAAAAAAAGAAAAGAAAAAGAAAAGCCAAATTCAAAAGAAAAATTCCATTACAGTTATTTTACTAAATTGTTACGATAACTGGGTTGTACCCACTGAAGACCATATATACATTAGATATTTGACCTTAAATGATTAATATTTAAATCTAGTTCAACAAGAGTAAATCAGAGCAACATCAGTACAAAGGAAATATCAGAATAACTTTTCTCCCTTAAAATTATCATAATCCCCTCATTTATTCAATGGTCACCACAATGCTCCAACCCATGAACCCAATAAGATAAGGCCTCTGCAGTTCCAAAATACGTGTCAAAGGCACCTGCACTACAGCTGTGCTCCCGATACACAGGAAATTTATGGACTTTTATTGAACACACAACTCCTCAAAAGCTTGGTTACTTATTTTTTTAGGTAAAAGCATATCAGAATCAGCAGAACACATAAAGGCATAGTGCCTTTAAGAGACAGAAATAGCAGCAGCAAAAAATGATGCCCTGAGACCCCCAATAAGAACAGGAATATGTGGCTGGGATAAATGTATGCAAGAATTCTCTAACAGAGGGACTTAGGAGATGTCCCCGAGCCACATACATCTCTCTGTAGAAGAAACCATGGATATACATAATGTTTGAGAAAATTTAAGTATTACAAATGCTAAATATATATAATTCATGTTCTATTTTTTAAAAAAGTTACCTAAAGAAAAAAATCTAGTGTGTGCAGCCATGCAATTCATTAATGCTGCTGAATAAATGAGGGCTGAGGTCTCCTTTCCTAGGACGTATATAACTTCAGGAAAATTCAGGCATTTAACTTAGAAAAAGAAGGCAAATAGTAACAGGAAGACATCTGATAGTTACAAGTGACTTGCAGAAAACTTAAAAGTATATTCAAGAGAAGAAAGAATTTGTAATATTTTTAGGTTATTATTGGCATCCGAATCTCCCCATTTGTTAAACACTCGGGACATAAATGCTTTTCTTCCCTCTGAATAAAGTATAAAGTATGTTAATATGAATTTAAAGACAAATACACAGAATGGCAGGTAAACAGGTATTCACTCTAGTATTTTCAGGTTTGTTTAAAAAAATTAGCATGATTTAATTACAATTAAAAAATATACAGAATGTCAAAAAAAATGGATAAAAGCCATTTCAAAGAAGGACAGATGACTTAAGATTCTGGCTATAGTGCAAAGACCAGAATTTAAAAGCTAATGGTCAAAACATCAACTCTGAATGGTTTCCTCAGGAAAATGAAGACAATTAATACCTCCCCTGTCTTCATGGGATTCTTATGAGGAGTAAACACTACGTGTAGTTACACAAAAGCCTGCTAAACCTACAAATGTTACACAAATCCTAATTAGCAGTTTTAGAAATCCTATCTACATTTGAAGTATAATTTTGGAAGAACTGGAATTTTGGTTTTCTGTATTTTCTTAAACAGTAGTAAAATACTATTACTGTGAAAAGCTCCTGTAAAAAACTAATGTTAAAAAATCATTAATAAAAAGTGTTTAAACTTACAATGGTTTACTGTATTACATTACTTAAATGCTACTTCAGTAAACAACTTATCATTCATATTTATCAAGATAAGACACAGAATTGTAAAGCAAGGTGGGGGGAATATAGCAGATGGATGATGGCTGGGCAGGAAGGAATCTTTTTTGAACCATGTGAATTTAAGATTTAGTCTAAAAACTAAACAAAATTAAATTCAAAAAATCAAATCAATGGGAGTGTAGAAGACGACCAAGCTGTCAAGTTATTTGTTGGGATTCAATGCAATGATAGATGATTTCTTCCTCTTTAGCTTCTTGGTATAAGTTTGTATGAATAATTAAAAGGTTTTCAAAGATTTAATTTTTTTCAAGTAGCAAGTGACTAGCAGCACATGTACAATGCAGCTTTTTATATAGTTGAGTTAATAACGCTTACCAAAAGGGCAAGGCAAATGTATAGAGGAAGAACATATGAATCTACTAGATGTCAAGAATGGACGAATAATTTGTGTGTAAATATGAGCTAAACAAAATTACTGACACAATTCAAAGAAAAACATTGAAAGGCACAATTTAACTTAATTAATTCTTTTACTATCAAATTATGCATAATTCAGCTTCTGTAGCTTAACTTTGCAATTCCTACCTAGCAGCATGCTCAAATTCAATGCAGTCAGATTAGCAGAAATAATGGAGTTGAAAGCCTCAAATATGTACCAACCATGGGCATTAGTGTGTCCTTCTGTCTAGTCACATCTCTCATGGCCACAATGCACACTTACTCAAATTTAATTAATGGTACAATGAACCATACTGTAATGTAGATTTTGAAATAAAATGAATACAATGTCCATAATAAATTGACAATGAAATTTATAACACTTCAAATATATTATTTCCTGAATGCATATGCTGAAAACAATGGTTTACATGCATGTTTTACCTATAGCATTTTGACTATAAAGACAAATCTCGTTTAAAATCTAAGAAATGAAAATTTTAATGATCTTCAAAAATTTATTTTACATATATGAAAAGAGGGCTGAACTTCGAAGCTCTTGGAGATTAAAAAATAACTATGTGTTTTTAATATTTCCATTTTCATTTAAATTAACCAAGAACGTTTAAGTTAACTGGTCTGTAACTATATCCCCAAAGTATCCACCCTCTACCACCAATGATTCTTCTTTTCTACTCTAAATGTGAAGAAAATTACTTGTATTCTTGACCTTTATTTCCCAAAGGTAACTTTTAAACATTCTAATCTCAGCTAAACTTGGCATTCTCCAGGGTTGCCTTTACACCACATTCCTGGCCATCATCGCAGAAGACCACCATTGCTTCTTCGATTCCCTGATGTTCACAGACCTAGAGGAGTGCCTGCAAAGATGTGTCATGTTCCTCCCAAGGTCTACTGCCTTTACTCAGTCTCACCTACGACTCTGAATCTCTATCATTCCATACGTCATTCTTCTGAAACACACTTATTAAACTGAGTGATGATTTCAGCACTCTGTTCAACCCACCTTTCTATCCTGTCCTAGACATCACCCTCAATGAATGTAACTCCTACTTTACTGGGAACCCTGGGGTCACCCAGTGTGGCACTCTTAGAATTCTCTTGTCCCATCTTAAAATTTTCTCATATTCTCTGATTTTTTATAAAACTGACTGCATGTTTATCTAGGTTCCATTTTGGTAAGTGCTCTATTAATTATTCCCTCTCTGGCATTTGTCTTTGTTTCACCTGTCTCCTCCTAATAAACAGCTCGGGTAATCCTTGTCCTTTATCCAAAGCAATTCACGGGCTAAAAATGCACACTCTCCCCAAATCTATTATCTTTCTCAAATTGTCACCCTTCTTCTCTATATAAACTCTCAAAGGTAAGCCTCTGCTCCTTACTCCATAGGAAACTGTTTTCATAAGGTTGATTTCTTAATGGTAAGTAGTTCTTAAATGTCACTAACAGTCATTTCCTACTATTTTCTTAATCCCATCCTATATCATTTTTCATTGCCATTTTGAAAATTCTCTGCCTCTATCCTAGAACACACTCTTGAAAGTTTTCTCCTAACCTTACAGGGTAAGAGAAAACTAGCTTACCTCTTTCCCTAAGAGTAAGCCTACCTCGAAAATCTGATCTGAGCGAGCCCCTCTTTGGCAATCCTCTCTGTCTCAGTAGTTTTATTATCAATCTTATACATTAACTCCAAAACCTGTGTCTCTCAATACTTTATTCCCAACTCCCAGTCCAGAACTTCTAATACTTAGCTAGGCATTTCTACCCGGAAATTTCAGAAGCACTTTAAACACAACATATCCAAAAACTGAAGCTTTCCTATTTTTGCAGGACCAACCTCTGTTATTTATATTAATGATATATACTATTTTCCCCAGCGCTCAAAGCTCAAAACCTCTTCTAATACCACCACTGCTACTGTTTATTGAACTGTTACAATGTTCTTTGCATTGTTCTAAGTACTTTCATAAGTATAATTTAGTACTCATGAAGTGGGTATTATCAGTAACACCATCTTATAGACGAGGTAAGGTACCATCTCTTGTAAGTAATGGAACTAAGTTTCACCCTAGTACTCCAACTCCACAGTTTATAGTCAATTGCTGATGCTGCCATCTTCTTCCTGCTAGAGTAAAGGAAACAATCTGAGAGGGAGTAGTGATCTACACAGAGCTATAAAAGAGGAATAAGGAAATCCCAGAACTATAGCAAAGGCCCAGGCCACAGAGTAAAGGCAAAGATTGATCAGCAGACCAACTACCCAGCATCTACGCACAGTACCTACATACAGAGAGACACAGACACACACACACAAACACACACACACACACACTGTCCACACAACATGGAAAGCACACCAGTGGTTCAGTTCCTTTAGGATACTCTTAGTAGACTTCTACACATCTATTCAGAGTCAAAATCCAGACTTTGTGACATACCTCTCAAAATACCAGTTCTAGCTTTCTGTGGCCATTCTAGTTCAATCACCTCCTACAATTTTGCAATAGTCAAATGAATACCAGCCTCTGATTGATCTATTCTCCAATCTATTTTTACACCTACCCTTTGATTAACTTCATGAAAGTGTCAGATGAATCACACTAACAATTTAAAATGCTAAATGGTTTCCCAGTAACTATCCAAATAAGAAAATTTATCACAGATTATATAAATCCATTAACAACAGAAAAATACAACCCATCCTCTTTTCTACTCTTACCTCACACAACTCCCCTGAATGTGCTTTTATTTTTGGTCAAACCAAAGTACTTAATTTCTCCATGCTATACTTGCTGCTTTTTAAAATATGCTATCTTTACCAGATTAAGGACATTAATCTGCAAGCAGTCATCTGGGAAGTTTTACGTATCTTCTAACACCTAGACCAACTCAGATAACAGAATTATTCAGTATTTCCAGGTTTGATAGCACCACCTGAAATAGAATTCAGATTAGG